ATTCTAGAAGGCCAGAGCCTAATAAATAGGCTGTATTGGAGAAGCTAAGGATTTCCGTTGTCTCTGTACCGTTCTTAATAAAGGCTTGCTTTCAGAACCGGTTGTTTGCCCTTTTCGCCTATTAGTCGGGGATATAACAACTGGCGATGCAGGTGAGATCCAGTCGTTTAATAGAGATATAACAGGCTCATACTGTGAATAAAAACTTATCGAAACCGCAGTGAAATAAGTAGAAAGTATTGAGGGGAAGATAGTTGCACTGGCTGGATTCCATAGTCCCACTTTTGTCACAACGATGAATAGGAAAGGGTATGTGATGCACAGAGACATGAAAACAAAATTATGAGACGAACGCGGCTAAAGGGTGAAAAGTTGGGAACTTCATATCAAGTACATAATAAACGGTAAAGTACCCCACGAGAGAGAGCACTCATTTGATCCTTGCTGTTAACACCACCAATGACGAGGAGTGAACGTGGGTTTGGGTTGGAAAGGTACTTCTTAAACTTCTGAATCTGCTCGAAGGTCTGTTCCGCCAACTCCCGTGAGGGCTTAAAAATTAGAAGAACAAAACTGTAATTTCAAAGAAAAGAAGGCTCAAAAGCAGTTCAAAGCAAACCGTCATCTATTAGGCGAGGCTGGAACAGACCAAGGTGACTGAAAAGAAGTCACACAAACACAGCTTTAAAAATTATTTGTAGGCAAACTTCACTAAAACAACATGCATTAGAGAGGACCAAATTAATAAAGCAAATAGGGACACGCGAGAAGCCTTTTAAGGATAACGGGAAAAACCGTTCCATTCACCGCAACATACACAATCATAAAGAAAGACGAACTCCAGACCGTAATAAGATCCCAGGCAGAATGCCGCAGCGTAAGGCAGACTTCTATAGCAATTAAAAAGTGCGGAAGATTATACTAAGTCATAATTGGTTTTATTCTGGGAGTTCTACTATTTGAGATAAAAGTTCAACCTTGTCCGGAATTGGGCCGGCAGCCAAAAAGAGAGTACATCTTCCTGTCGCGTCTGATTAAGGGACTAGTTTGGGCTTCAGCGTTTGTTGGTAGAAAATGTGGGAAGGCAAGTTGAATCTTGGAGAAGGGTTTGCTAATAATTATGAAGTAAAACCACACCCATTAAAGAGATGATAAAACACAAGGTTGGCGTGCTGGAGATTCTACTTTGACCTCCCCAACGTACAGTAGATTCTGTTAGAAAGTTTCTCTTATTCGGTTCTCAGAACCCACTTGATACAATCGTTTCCAATTTTATCAGCTCAGTACGCATATCAACCTTAGAAAGAGCATCTCTTTGTGCCATAAACACGGACTAGTAATGGGAGACTACCCTTCCGCAGATGGGTGATTGAGTTATAGTAAAAAAGGTAGGGGTGTTAAGAAGCTTGGACGAATGTAAACTGTTCAGTCGCATTAATTCAGCGATGGCAGCACACAAGGAAAACAAAAAAACCCAGAAATTTCGAGAGAAAAGTAACATTTAAAAAAACGCTACTTCACCTCAACAATGAGCGCTAGGGGTGCATTGGGCATCGGCTTGAAGGACATTTTTTTCCTGTCGCCTAAAAGCAACAAGGGAAGCGGCTGATGAAGATGAACATAGAAGATTGATTATTGAAATCACCCAAATGCATGCCATTTCTGTGCGGTCATAGGGAAGCGGACAGATATGGTGCGCCAAGA